ATTTGGAAGACTATTGGTGTCACTACCCTTTTTATTACATCATTTAATATGCGCCACGTATTTTTAATATTAGATTTATTTCCTTCCAATAATCTGCTATAATAATTTCTTTTACTAGATCTCATAATACTTATTAATTTATTCTTGTATATCTTATATTTCTGTTCTGCTTCCTCCGTTCTTTTCTTTAAAAAGTCTTTATACAGCTTATTTTTTTTCCTGCAAGCCCCTTAGTTATCCACGGCTTTTTAGCATATTTATTCTTATCCACCTTATAAAGCAATGGGCAGTTTTTTTTCATAAAGAGAAGTTACAATATTTTAAAATTTTCCATAAGCCATATTTACATCTTCCACGTAAGCCTCCTCCCAATTTTGTTCTATTAAGTCAGTTTTAAATGAATTTACTGCTTCTTGACTTTTTAGCCTTGTAACAACCACAGATTGACTTTGAGTAGTTACCGTTGTCCTTTGTACAACTGTGAAAACCGGTAAATGATCAGACATATCGGTAATTATAAGGCCACTTTACACATCATTTTCAAGAACATTTGTAAAAATATTGTCGATCAGTGTCGCACTAGTTCTTGTAATCCGAGTTGGCAGAGTTATTAGTGGATACAGTCCCAGACTAAACATAGAATTAATAAACTCTGTATTTGCATTTTGCATTTGAGGATTCAACAGGTCAATGTTAAAATCCCCACAGACAAAACACATTTTTCTGTTGATTATGTCATCATACATATCAACTATTTTTTCTTTAAACATTTCAACACAAGATCCTGGTTTCCTATGCATACAACTGACTAACACATTCTTAAACTTTTCCATCCACTCATCCTTGGTGATCCACAGTAGACGTATGTCATTTGTATTGATCAAGTTCTTTAATATCTTTGATGACCATCACTTTTGCCTGCTCCGGGGGACCATTTAGCTATATCAGTACTTTGCAGTTTCTTGTCCAAGTGTCATGGATCTTTTCTTTGCTGCTGTTTTGCCACTTTAGTTATCTCATGTGACATGAATTTCAAGGACTTTTTAATCTCCTCCATATCTTGGACCAGATTCTCCATAGACTTCGTTGTTCCAAACAGTTTCCTTGGATGGTTAATAACTTTATGGTGTTGTCAGATTCCCAGCTGGTTGAAACATGTGGAAAAAAAGTCCAACACTTCATGTGCCGAAAAAATGTTCAATACTTCATCTAGCTCAAAAATGGTTTAAGCCAAAGGTTTCTAATTACTTAAGCCACAAAACAGCAAGCTTAGAAAAGGTGGATGTTATCCTATTTTGCTGATATTCATATATTAGTAGAGCTCAGCAATCTCACCACACCTACTCGGCAGCCATCTTGGAAGATATGTTAACTCATTCACTGCCATTGACAACTAAAGTCGTCATTTTAGATCCAACCATTCACTGCCAATGACGACTAAAGTAGTCATTTGCTTTTTTTTACTGTTTGAGCATCGGAACGAGCCCCCGCGCTGAGAGAACAAGCATCTCAGCCCTGAAGCCGATCTTCAGCCGCATACGTCATAGACAGTGGCGGCTGGCCAGTAGAGGGCGATAGGGCGCCGCCCTCCCAGTTTCCCCACTGTTTTTAATTTTTATTTAAAAAAATAAATAAATAAAATTAACAATAATCACATATTCTAAGTTAATTGTGTGTTTTGTAACAAAAATAAATCATATATATATATATATATCCATATTGGTCTCTGCCGATCTCTGCCGGTCTCTGCCGAGCGGTGGAGGCTGTGTGCTGTTTTTCAATCGCCCAAACAAGACGGGACCAGCTGTCCAATTGCTGACAAGAAAATCAAAGGGTAGGAATGGGAATGTTTCCAATCAGCGTCGACGTTGTTTCAGAACGTTTCAGAAGCATGATGGGCGATAGAGCTACCGCCAAGGCTTTCGTTGGTGTTCGGTAGAACTCGGAGAGTCTCGACTCCAGCACGTTTTTGGTCGTGACTCGTGACGCACATGGAGCAGACGCAGACATGGACGCCAGTGCGCCTACAACCAGCATGGATACCGGATCTCAGCAGCCACTGAATTCAGTTCGGTCTCTTCTCCAGTGGTGGAAAAACTTAATGTCAAAGAGCTTGGACCAGATCAGCCTGACGTAAAGATAAGCCAGCAGGACAAGGAGAGAGGTAAACTGTACACACGACGTTTCTCCCAAAATTGGTACACCAGGAAGCAGTGGCTAGCTGGATGCAATCACGCTAATGTGTTATTTTGCTTTCTGTGTTTGTTATTCAAAACGGCTGGGATACACAGAAGGTGGATGTGGAACTTGTGTCTCATTGGGGACTCCATTCATTCTCTGACTGAGGAATGCAGCGCATCAGTGCAGCAGCCAACAAAGAAACGGAGGACGTTTGGACAGGGAGAACAGCAGCTGGGTGCAGAGGTAAGCTGTACATTACATTTCTGTAAACAAGACAATCAGAATCAGAAATCCTTGGTTGTCCCACAAACCGGGACATTTGTTTAATAACATGTACATTGTTTAATGTGCAATAACTGTAAAAACTAATTTCAACACACATACCTATTATACATATTTAATCATGTAAATGTGTATTTCAAGTAAATTTGTACATACATCAATCTGATTCCATTTTACTTGTTACACTTCTGCTGCAGCAAACAAATTCCCCAGCTTTTGGGACAATAAAACATTTCTGATTTGTCCCAAAAAGTGGGAAATATGACATTTGTAAGAGGATACTGATGACATTATTTCCTATGAAAGTGTTTCCACTTTCCATAAGTCCTAACAGTGTAAATTTCTGGCATTTTGTCTAGTGTTTACTACCATTACTGTAACAGTGACCTGCTCATAATTTTTCGTGTTCACTCAAATGTTGAAATTAAACAAAATGTTTTTGTTACTTGCCTCTTGCATTGCCTATTTACCATTTATGGTCATGTTATTTTATGTGCAATTTAATGCAGTATTTTTCAACCTTGGTCCGCAAGGCAGTTTGCCAATAGTCAGACACACCTGGATTAATCAGTTTGTCCAATAATGTAAGACAGGAAATAAAATAGCTGTGCTTAATTCAGGAAATAGTGAAGTTGTGCACAAAGCTCAGAAAGCACAAGTTTGTTTAAAAAAAATAGCACAGCCCCACCAAAAATATTTTTCACCAGCCGCCACTGGTCATAGATCACATGATCAGGAAGCAACACATCCATGTGTTAGGAGATCGTTTTGGGCCGTTCCTGTAAAAAAAGTGAGGCGCGAACCAGAAAAGTGTCTGCCGATCACAATTCGACAACGGATTATGAAAGAACGGATAACGCTCGAAACACGCGGACTCTTCCTGATGTAAGAGGTGAGTCTCCTCTTTGTTTTGGTTGTTTTGGCATTGACATCATGCTAGCACGCAATGTTCTGTGACTCTTAAAAAACTGTAAAAACGGTGAGAAACGGTGGCAGCGAAGGCCGTTAGTGATCAGGATACGGCTGGCAGTGAATGAGTTAAGAAGCCGCCAATATTTTTCCAACAACTGGGCATCATTTCATTCATTTTCAACAACATTTTGATGGATATCATGATAAAATGTATGAAAAAGTACTCATAATATTGATTAACCAATAGATGATGGCAAAAGAGGGACGATGTAGAAAAAAGTTAGAAATGACTGATATTACTGCCTTTTCAGTGCAGTACACCTCAAACAGCTAGAGGTACTATGCTTGTTTCCTCCACCAGAAAATTTTGATAGAGGTGGCCAGATGGGGCCAAATTAATTTTTGGGGTGGCACACCAAATTGGTCCTTGTGGTAACTCTGGGAGAGTTTAGCTTGTGGCATTGTATTGCATTGCTTTTTTATTCATTTTTATGAAGAAAAAAAAACTGCATGTATCCAAAACATTTAACTTAAATTTTACAAACACAAACATTTCAGAAAAATACATAGTTACTTGAAATGTTATTTAGAGTTTTATTTTAAAATGTTTTTTTGTTTAATTCACCTGTTGCTGTCCACAAAAAACTATGGAGATAAACAGGGTATCTGCAGGTTTAAGGGAGCAAAATGTAAGGCTTTTTAAGACCTTTTTTAAGGCCACTTAGACCAAATTTAAGCAATTTTTTTAAAATTAAATTTAAGCTATAATTTCCAGCTATTGCCTGGAACTGGTGCTAACCACGTCGCGAACGTAAGATTAGCCATTAGCCATCCAGTTACCATTAAATTCCCACTAGCTTAACCAGCTAATGTGCTAATCTAAAAATAGCCCCCTTTCACAACCAATGGAATGTGTATGGCTCTGCTTATGCCAATATCATACACAAAAAAATGCTGAACACTTACTAGAAATTCAGAAAATTTTTTTATAGAAATAAAAGAATCTTGTTTATTGGGTCTTTGGTAATTTAAGGGCTTTGAAGGCTGTATTTAAGGATTAATAGTCATTTTTAAGGATTTTTAAGACCTTAAATTTGGAAAAGCTAATTTAAGACTTTTTAAGACTTTTTAAGGACCCGCGGATACCCTGATAAAAACTTTTAAAAAATGGTAAACAGCAGAAACATATGTAATTTTTTATTCAGATTATTTCTTTACTCATTAATTGTATGAATTTTATTTTTACAATTATGTCTTGAATAAACAAGATCAATTTATGGTTTGACTGAACATTAATATGATTTATTAACACTGGCTTTTCCTGGAAGGGCCAGCAATTTCCTGGGGGGGGGGGGGGGGGGGGGGTTGTGGCCACCCCTGGCCACTCCTTGGGGGCGCCTTTGCCCTTGTCATGTAGCCATTTCTGTTATTGTTTTTTTTTCCTCTCTCTCTTTTACAGCCATTTGAGTTAACAGATCAGGCACTGTGTTACGTTTTGATTTATTTCCTTATTAGAAAGTTGTGATCCGAAGGGGGGCGCCGTCGGTGGAAAACCCCAGCGGGCTGCGGTGTGTGGAGGCGGGCAGGGAGGGAGGGAGGGAGGGAGGCCCTGCTGCCATTGGCTCCCGTGACGCTATAAATGCAGGCAAATGGCATTTACCGGCACAGAGCAGGCGGAGACAGCGGAGGGACCGGTTAAAGGACAGGGACGAGCGATTAATACACATCCAGGATTTGTCACATCCCCTCAATGAAGGAGCGACGGTCGTGTCAGAAGCCCAGCATGGATCCGAGTCCCAGTGTGAAGTGTAAGATCGTGGTGGTGGGGGACAGCCAGTGCGGGAAGACCGCGCTGCTTCACGTGTTTGCAAAGGACTGTTTCCCAGAGGTGAGACACCGATCCCGGATCAGAACCTCTTCATCTTCTGCTTTAGTCATGCTAAACCACGTGTTATTTAACCATGCATGCACGCGCTGGTTCTATCAGTTCTTACCTAGTGCTGTGATTTCTCTGCACCCCCTCAGAGCTATGTCCCCACTGTGTTTGAAAACTACACGGCCAGTTTTGAAATCGACACCCAGAGGATTGAGCTCAGCCTGTGGGACACCTCAGGTAATAAAACACCCACGATCACCTTGTTTCCTGTCTGTGGACATGTCCTGACATGTCCCCCCATGAATGTTTGACTACGAAACACAAACACACATATTCAGGTTTAAATGCTGCAGTGTGTGAGGATTTTTGAAAAATATTTGGCCCATTTCAGTCGATTATAACTGGGTTAGTCCCATCACACAGCTGTTTCCTCAGATTACAGCATAAAAACGAATAATGTCAAAGGTTTATCTCTAAATAAAGCAGAAACGTGATATTTATGATGGACCAACATCTGGTGAACACACTTCCCAGAACTGTCCAGTTTTGTTTCTTTTTAAAATTTTCCAGGAAAGTTGTGCAATGTCTTTCTTTTAACCTGGAAATATTTTGTTTTGTTGGATCATGTGATCAAATCAGTCAATGCAACCTTTTAAACATGTAAACAAACTCACTTTACATCAAGCAGTGCGTGCGTGCGTGTGTGCGTGCGTGTGTGCGTGTGTGTGTGATGGGCGGGGACAAGTCGGCAGCCAGCTGTTGCGGGTCCCTGGCCTGGAATTCCAAAGCGATGTCTGAATAACTTTCTCGAACATTAAAACCAGCTTGAAACATTTTTCTCGAGAAAAAAAAAAGCTAAACCAAAGAACTCAAATTACAGATTCTCCCTGAGCGGCGTCTCCAAGTGGAATATTTTTTTTTTTTTGTGCTTGAGGGGTGATGAAAAACAAAGGAGTAGAGGAGGGTTGGTGGTGTGGGTGGAGAGGACCGGTCTAGATCCAGACTTTTGCTTTATTGCACCGTGTTGGCCGGCTGCCTCCAACCAGAAGTAGGAGGTCGTGTGTGTGTGTGTGTGTGTGTGTGTGTGTGTGTGTGTTTTCTATTAGATCAGTAGGTTTCAGATGGGGCCTGATACCCCTTCCCTACCCCCACACCTTCATCCTAACCCCCACCCAACGCAGACATCTAGTGACCGATTGATACAGCTTTCAGCTTGGCTGGTCCCTTTGTACGGACACCCATTGCTCCCCCCAGCTAGTCCAATCGATCCCTTATCTGTTGAGGTGAGATATGGAGGAGGGTGTTTTTGTGCACGGCTCGAGCACGTTCTGGGACAAAGACCACCGTGCAGGCACTGAACCGCTCAGAGGCGTGGAGGCGGTCTTTGTTTGGCGCTGATGAGCGGCTTAATGAGCAGCCCGGTGTGTGTTCAGTGTGTTTAAAAAAGCGAGGGTGGTGGGTGTAATTTGGGTCATTAAGGTAAATGCCTGCCAGTTGTGCTGCCTTCCTCTTCGACCCGCCCGCTCTGTCTGAGCCTGTGTTGAGCTCCAGTCTCAGGGTGAGGCCTTTGAAGCTTCTCTCAGTGGCAGAGGATTTGTATTTTGTTGTGTTTTTTCCTTCTGAATGAACCGTGAAGGTGTTTGTTTGGGACTTGAACAGGATGAGAACATAGCGTTGGTGAACCGAGCGACCCCAGAGGCCCGGTACCTCATCTGCCTGAGGCTTGTTCTGAATTCAGGAGAGAGAATGAGGAAAGAAAATATCTCAGAACAATCGAGTAAGAACACTAGTACGAATGCTGCAATTATCCTTCATTACTGACAGTTTTACAAATGTCACAAAATGGCAACCTGGTCACTTGAAAGGATCAAACCATCACCCAAAATTAATGTTGAGTTTTAATCTGTAATTAGTGCAGTTGTGTGATATTTGATGATTCACTTTTTATTCACGGATAAGATTTATAAACTAGAGCTCTGTTAGGGTAGCCTGGCGAGCCATCCTATATGTGTAAATACACAGGCCCTGTCCACACGTAGCCGGGGATCTGCCAAAACGTAGATATTTTTCTACGTTTTGGCCTGTCATCCACACGAAAACGGAGTTTTTCCACACGAAAACGGATCCTTTTAAAAACTCCGGCCAAAGTGAAGATCTGCATTTTCTCCGTTTTGGGTGTCTGCGTGTGGACAGACAAAACCGTAGTTTTAAAGTCCGCAACGTCACTTTCCGCGACAAAAAAAAAAAATGCTGACATCACGTGTGCGACCTGTGTTTACACTAGCCGACAGCACGGATGCCCTCAGAGCTGCGCTCGCTTTATCAATTGTCCAAGCGCTTTCTGCTTGTTTGGTTTTGCAAGCGGAATTACTGCTCCTTGCGGAAGACCACAGACGAAGGACGAGGTTAAGAACGGGGGAAGTACTGCCACCTACAGGTCTGGCATGTCCATAACAACGTATTTATCCGGGTACTTGTGGACGGAGTTTTTTTTTTTAAACGAGGTGGTGTGGATGCAAGTTTTTGGAGGGGCGGATATTCGTTTTTTTAAAAACCCAGCTACGTGTGGACTAGGCCACAGTCTGGCCACAAGCCACTGAAACTATCCAGTCATTAGGCAGAATTTATGGTTGTCTTTAAAACTGTCTCTGCACACAGTTGGACAGCAGAAGGACCAATCAGAGCAACAGACAACGTGACACGATCATCACTACAGCCGACAGGGCCGTCTGCCATACACCTAAGAAGAAGCAAATACATCCTTTTTCTAAATAAATGACCTAACTATCTATCTGCTCATGTCAAATTGTCCAAAGTTGATGCCAAAGCCATTCCAAACAAGCGCCTTCACTGAGTCAACGCCGTCTTTGTAGTTTTTCTCCATTTCAGCCAGGTTATAGTATTACCCCGCCCAATAAACAGAGAGCATTGTGACTAGCTATTGACCCTTTGCAACGACGTCACCTGATCACGTGGGTCCACCATGGTGGATGGCAAAAGCATGTAAACAGTGAACGACACGATTACTAAACAAAGGGAAAAGTGGAGCCTGAAATTGTTTTTGCGATCAAAACAAAAACAAAACTCCAGCATTCCTTCAACTAGTTCATGCCCAGTTCAGTTATCAGAAGAAGTAGCGCATCTAGCGGGGGCTAATAGAGAGCGGTATGCTAACTAGCTTACCAACGTTAGCTTACGTTCTCTCTGCAGCTGTTCACCGATGTAAACATGTTGCCGACTTTGCCTAAATTCACCCCTCTGGATTTATATCTTTATGTTGTTGCACGGGCTGCATGGTGGCGCAGTTGTTAGCACTGTTGCCTCGCAGCACGAAGGTTGCAGGTTCGAAACTCAGCTGCAGCCTTTCTGCGTGGAGTTGCGTGTTCTCCCCATGCATGCGTGGGTTTCCTCCGGGTACTCCGGTTTCCCCCACAGATCACAACATGCCCTATAGGTTATAAATTGTAAGTTGCTTTGGATAAAAGCGACTGCTAAAATGAATAAACATAAACATGTTGTAAACAGCGTTTCACTTTAAACCAAAGCTGATTGTTAAAAAGTCCGGATCCCTACCAGCTTCTGTTGCTGGTGGTGTTACCGGGTTCAGCTGCTGCTCTCACACCAGAATGAGAAGATCTCTGAACGGTGACGCTCATATAAATAAATAACGTCTTTTTAACACACGTAATCATACATCGGAGCTTTAATATTGTTAATAATTGTCTCGCTTTACACTACAGTGGACGGCATGCAACCTCCGTGGTGAAATACCCATCCATCAGGATTATCAATAACTATAAACACATCACATTTATCCCTGTCCCCGTCTTGAGCTACCGTTAGCACTAACTTGGGCTAGCGTTGTTCTGCGGTTATCATTACGCTACCAAGGGTTATGGGCTCGACACACGGGAGGGGACATTGTCTCTCCTTCATTCATTTTCAATGAGACCTGCGCGACAAAGCGATAATCGCGGGTCTCCCTCCTACCAAGCGAAACTCGAAAAACGTGCGTGTGAAATTAGGACTGGGCAATATGGCCTCAAATCTATATTGCGATATAATCTGAAGCATGTGCGGTAACGATATATATTGCGATATATTTTTTCCTCATTTTATATATGTCAAAATGACATGCTTTTAAATATCCTCATGTGGCAAATATATGCCATTTGAGGCATATAGGCCTCCTCCTCCGCCCACTCCATGCTTGCAGTCATTGCCATTCTGTTGCCCCAATGTCAGCAGGGTTCACATCTTAGTGACGTCATGTGTTATCGCGGTATTGCGATATAGCCAAAAACTATCATTACCCAATTTTATATCGTTTCTACCTTATATCATTTATATTGCCCACCCCATGTGAAATTTTGCACTCGTGCACGTGTCGTGCACAGGCAACCCAGCGACGCAATCCTCGGACGAGGACCAATCAACGGAGGTTTCATTCACTGACCAATGAGCGGACAGGATGCTCTGTACATCTCCGAGCAAACATGGAGGAGAAGTTGATTATTATTATGTTTTATATAGTAAAATCAGAAGTAAGATTTCACATAACTCTAGCAGCACCTTGTGAAACATCATATCTACCGCTTTTTTAAACTCTGAACCGCTTAAATAACCTTAATTCCCTCCAACCTGACGCAGCCAAATAAAACAACGGAAGTTTTGATTTCGCCATGGAACAGAACGTGTAGACGGCTTTGCCGCTGCCGCGGATCGCCTCCCGTGTGTCAGGTAATCAAAGCGACAGCGACGAATTTCGCTGATCGCGGTCGTTTGTCGCCTCCCGTGTGTCGAGCCCCTTAGGACGGGCAAAGGTAAGGTCTGAGCTTATGGCAGCTTTACTGACATCCATTTCTCAGTGGCCATTACAATTTTGCTAATTTACTTAGGAAAGCAGTTCCGAGACAGCACAGACTTTTTAGTGTGGTATATTTGAGACTCCAATCCGCTTCTACTTAAAATCTAGTTAAATGGTGTTTTAAAATCTAGAACCACTTTAATATACTGGGATCAGCCTGGTAATCAAAAGTGGGCTGATGCTAACAACCGTATGCCATTTGCGTATGACTTGTGGTTGCTGACAATGGGGTATATGTTTGGGCATGTGATAGTGATGCGGTGCAGGATTATTTTGGTGTTTAATTGAAGCAGAGAGGCAATGAAGGTGTTGTGGCTGCTTACTGGTGTTCAACCCTAACGGCTGTGATATCGGTAATGGCTCACATTTT